GGGGGGTGGTGGTGCTCAGATTGGATAAAACACTGCCACAATATTGTGATCGTCGCAAACACTGCCACAATATTGTGATCGTCGCAAACACTACCACAATAGCCCTAATAGTTCTTTCACTAAATGCAAGGGTCAATCCAGTAGCAATGCTAATCATACAAGCTATGAGACCAGATAAGTTAACAATACTGCAGAAAGATTTGAACCTACAAATATTGTATCCGCAGCTAAAAAGATAGAAAGGAGTGCTCAGAGTTCAGGCTATCTCTGTGATCAGCCTTCTGAAAAGGAGTTTCCAATTGATGACATGGACTTTGAAATATTGGAAGGGCAAAAAATGCTCAAAGCAAGGGGAGGAGCTACTCAGTTATGTAGAAAACTAGCCATGCTGCCAATAGAAACAAAGGAGCAAGTTTGGGCTCCTAGTGATTGGCAATGCTTAGTTGTATCTACTTGGAACACTCATTTCAGGGTTACTGAATTACTAAAGCAGTATGAAGGTTTGTTCAAACGACACACTTGTTTACCTAATTTCAGAATTCCATTGAAGCAAGATACTTTTCCAAGCAAAATGCAATCCAAGACTAATCAAGAGCTAAGGTGGAACCAATTGCTATCAAAAGTTAAGGTGTTCAGATTTCCTATAAGCTACAAAGTGAGGAATGAAAATCAAGTTTGGCAGCCTCCGTGGAGCTTGGAATCTAGCAAACAAACCACACATTGCATATTAGCTCTAAGGAAGGAGTGTGTGGGTCACTTTGTGGCCTAGTTTCAGGCCTACTGATTGTATTGGAAAAGGGAATGATCAAGCAAGGTACTAAGCTTCTGTGCATTACGTCGTCAAGTAGGATGGCCAAGTGTGGAAATTGCTTCATGGACATATTCTAAAGAGATGGAGCAAAGGTTTCCTGAATCTGTTTTGGGAACCAGTATTAGTATAAATGCAATACTATTGTTGACTTGTTTGGTATTTGTTGTAGTTGGTACTGGGGAGGGTGTTTTTCTTTGAGGTTAGGGTGTTTTCTTTCAAGGGGGAAGGAATGTTGCAGTGCAACTAATTCCAAGCTTAGCTGGCAGTTTGTTATAGATTTAGTTAGACATTTTAGCCTTTAAATACCCCTTTTTACTTTCTCTTATTCAATATACAACAACAACAACATTACCCTAGTGCCTCAACGGTTCCCGCCCATTGCGGGGGAAGGGAGGGTCTGGTGTACGCAGGACCCCTATGTTTAAAACATAGAGCGGCTGTTTCCAGATGACGCATGATGAGCGTCGAAAGTTGCCTTGACCCACTGCTACTTCACAATTGCAAGAAGCGCAGACAGTTTAGAGAGCCAATTTGCTTTATTCCATTTTTTTCTTATTCAATATAATGAAATAATAATTTGATTTCCAGTTTCTCTCCTCTTCTCTCCATCTCTCGGTTCACCTCTCTCTTTCATCTCAATTCTGTTACAAAGTTGAACATCACCATAGCTTCATCCTCGAGGATCTCCTTCTCCATTCTTTAGTATCCTCTTGTATTGAATGCTATCAAAACGCTACGGTTCAGACCCAAAAATACTTGGCTCTGGTACCATATGAAATAAATGGAGAATATATTTTCTAATCATAACTAAGGAGAATTACATGTTCTTTGTAGGGCATAAGTCAGTCTTCTTCTAAAAGTTCCAAGTCTTTCTAATGACATCTGATGACATAACAACTTTACATTTATATTTTACATCCTAACGCCGAAACTCCACATTATTTCACTGGATGCATAGCATATTCTTCCAGAACCCTGGTAACATGACTGGTAAAAAGCTAAATTGTAGCAACAGTGTAGTGACCAATGTAGTGCACCCAGAGAATTACATCAATAAAATTTAACTTAAGGACTTCATCATATTTGTTTTGATCTTCTACTTCTTCAACATCTGTATGCTGTTGACAGCTCACATGCAGTACTGGAGATACAAGTGACGAGAAAGCTATGTGCTAAATATCCCAATCAGGTTATTAAAGGAAAACTTGCACTTGTTGATCTTGCTGGAAGGTTTGCTTTTATTTTCCATCCAATAACCCTTTTCCTTATTGATTTTCTGTTTGTCTATGGCCCAATTTGATATGAAACCATGGTGCAGTGAAAGAGCATCGGAAACCAAAAGTGGGGGCCAAAAGTTAAGAGATGGAGCTAACATTAATAGATCATTACTTGCTTTGGCAAACTGCATAAATGCTCTTGGGAAACAACAGAAGAAGGGTCTAGCTTATGTTCCTTACCGCAATAGGTAACTATATATTCTTCTTACAGTAGAATGAAGTTATGATGAATTTGAGTAATTAATATTATCTCCTTATATTTCTTCAGCAAACAGACACGTATTCTTAAAGATGGCCTGAGTGGTAATTCACAGACAATAATGATCGCAACCATATCTCCAGTCGATAATCAGTATCACCATATTGTCAATACGTTGAAGTATGCTCACCGAGCAAAGGAAATTAAAACTCATATCCAGGTGTGACTGTGGGAGTCCAACCTATAGATTTCTATGCACTTCTATTAGAACATTTGATAAATGAGCCGCGTGCTGCAGTAATTGTCTTTTTGGTAAATTTGCTAAACATTTTTAGATCTCTTGCTGCTACAATATTGTGCAAGAGGGCGTTGATTTGATTATTGTAGTACTTGCCATAATGTGTAGTAGATGTATTTAATATTGATTATTTGATCTGCCTATAAGATACTTGAAGATTGTATAGTTGGAATCAATCATAAAAATATCCCTATTTATTTAATGTCCACTCTTATTCTTGTTTTTAAAAGATAAATAAAACTCCTAATCTTTGTTATTCAAATTTCTTCGACGTTAATATTTTTTTATCATCTTATAGAATTCTAAGTTTCATTCTTAGTACTGAATAATGTTTCCACGTTATAGGTTAATCATGTTTACTCAAGGTCTTTCATCGGCTATAATCAATGTGATTTTTTTAATAGTTGGATTCAAGTTTCTTTCGCGCTCGTAAACATTACTGTATTCATTTCAGGAAAATGTTGGCACACTTAACACCAATGTTTCAGACTACCAAAGAATGATTGATAGTCTTCAAGTAAGCTCTTTGTCTATTTTAAGAGTATGTTTTTTACATTAAAATGTGATTCGGTAAGAGATAATTTCCTTCTAGATTGAAGTTGGACAATTGAGGAAGGAACTAGCTGAGAAGGAATCTCAACTAAGTGCCATGCCTAGTGAAAAAGATGTGGACCATGAACTTTCTTGGTTGGAGACGTTGAGCTTAGAAACAAGTGAAAATGTTCAGGAGAGGATAAATTTACAGAAGGCTTTATTTGAAATTGAAGAAACTNTAAACATTACTGTATTCATTTCAGGAAAATGTTGGCACACTTAACACCAATGTTTCAGACTACCAAAGAATGATTGATAGTCTTCAAGTAAGCTCTTTGTCTATTTTAAGAGTATGTTTTTTACATTAAAATGTGATTCGGTAAGAGATAATTTCCTTCTAGATTGAAGTTGGACAATTGAGGAAGGAACTAGCTGAGAAGGAATCTCAACTAAGTGCCATGCCTAGTGAAAAAGATGTGGACCATGAACTTTCTTGGTTGGAGACGTTGAGCTTAGAAACAAGTGAAAATGTTCAGGAGAGGATAAATTTACAGAAGGCTTTATTTGAAATTGAAGAAACTAATACCCAAAACCGCACCGAACTGCAGATTCTTGATGAAGCAATTGCAAAACAACAGGTTTGCAGTTATGCATTTGATTTATGTTGCTCATCACCTAGATCACTTCCTCATTTAACTAATAATGTTCTTTTATCTTGCCTGTTATACTATCTTAATGCACAAATTTTTGTGCCTAGAAGTTTTTATAACATTTTATTTTCATCTCTTAGACTATTGAAAACAGAGGAGTGGTTGTGCAAAAACTGAGAGCAAGGCATCAAGTCATTCTTGACAACATCCGTGACAATGATGAACTTGGTGTAAAATGGCAGACGGTTGGTTTTGTTTCCCTGGCTAGTGCTGCCTGATCTTACTATTTTAGCGAACCACTTTCTATAAGTCAAACATCTTGCAGGAAATCAAAGCAAATGAGAATCAAAGGTATGAGCTACAGGCTTTGATAGAGGAAGCCATAGGCAACAACGGGAACAAAACGTACTTGCGAATTCTCAATCAATACAGAATTCTGGTAAAATTACTGTTCTGATGTTTTACTTTGATAGAGATTAAGGGCAGCATATAAACATATAATTTATTCATAATGGTTATATGCACTCATACCCCCATTGTAAAATTGATATTGTAAAATCAAGATGCAAATGCAGATTCCCCCTTTAGAAGGTTGAATCAAGACGGGCATCCGACTTAGAACATTGTCACTATCCTTTTTGTGCACGGATTTATAGGGTTTGCTAATTTTGGACAATTATTTACATTACAATAATGATTGTGGCATTGATGATGATGCTTGCACTCATAGTTTTACTGTCCTTTCTAGGCTAAAAGAAAACCATGCATGAAAATGCATTGAATTTTTATGCATTTTCCCCATCATTTTCTTCAATTTTGATGTGTGGTCAACCAGTCATTAATTTACAAAAAAATGCAGGGGATGTCGAACACTGAGCTTCATCTTGAAATAGCAATGAGAGATCAAGTCATTTATAATCAAAGGGCAGCACATAAGAACCTATGGAATTTACTTCTGAGCTTAGGAATAGATGAAAAACAATTAGTGGAGCTTGCTACTAAAGGAGGAATAACACTTAAAGACTGTGCAATGACACCGCCGTTTAAACAGACCGATTGGGTACAATCCCCTGATATGGGATGTGGAAGATGTAATTCAGCTTCTCCATCCATTTATCGGCAGTTCACCAACTCATCAGGTTACATTCCTCGAGACCATTACTTTTATGATGTTTTTCAAATTTACGATTGGAAACCCTCTAAAACGTTTCAGGACCATTTTCATAAGTATAAAGTGTCTCAGGTTAAATTTTGTATATAAAGAAGCATTTCACTTTGTGTTTTCCTTCCATGGAAATCCATTTGTACGAATTGAGTTGGAAACAAAGAACTCGTATTACCATAATTATCAATTAAAAAATATATTTCAAATTTCATAATAAAAAACATGCCCTATATATTAATTCAGATGTAGGATTTGGGAAAGGTGAATGTACACAGACTCTACCTCTACCTCAAGGTGTATATAGGTTGCTTCTATGAAAAACGCTACAAAAAGACAGCACAAAAGGGTGCGGAAGAAAAGAATAGAATTGTATGTATATATGTATGCATAAATACCCCCTTTATTATTTTCAATATTTACATGATTGCCCCATGTGTTGTGTCATATGCTATTGAAGAAGAACTGTTTTGCCATATGATCGTAGCACGTTTTCGTGCAGCCTAAGTCTCATGCTTGACCATTTACTATATAGAATCTGAAACACCCTTACATGTATTGGAGAAATGTCCATAGTTCATAACATCATGTCATTATTATCATTTTTTACTCAGAGAAAATACCGAACTAGGACTAAAACATGCTCCATATACCAAAATGGCACCTTCAATGTTTTCATACCAAAACAGGACTTAGAATGCCAAAAAAAACACTGAGAAATGTCAAATTGTGGGCATTTCACACTGCCAACATTCCTACTTAGGGGATAAAAGCATATGTCTTATTTTGGTATAAGTTTCATATTTTAGTCATATTTAAGTAGATTTCTTTTACTCCTTTTTGGTTTATACAGGGCCTAGTAGTGGTGAAGATTGCAATCGTAGCTGTACCGTGCTAAGTTCCCAACATGGCTTCCCTAACAAACAATCTTCAGGTGTTCTGCACTGTTAGAATGAAGGCCCAACGCTAGAGGGGGGGTGAATAGCGTTTAAAACAAAATCGCAGGAAATTAAAACGAGAGCGTTAAAGTAAAAAGCGTAAGGAAGGAACACACCGGATTTTATCCTGGTTCACCACAACGTGTGGCTAATCCAGCCCCCCGAGAGACTCTCTCGAGCTACACTAACTCCGTTAAGCTTAAGGGTGCTTAACAAACCGATACAACTTGAGAACCCGAGTCACACGAGCCTCAACACCTTTGCTCGGAGATACCGCACTCCAAGACTTCTCACGAAGGAACAAGGAACTTCCTTCGAGTTTACAACAAGGGAACAAACTCCCTTAAAGTGTATGAAAACACTTAAACACTCAGAAATAAAACTCTCACAAAGAGTAGATATGAGTGAACTAGTAAACGCTCAAGAACACGACAATTTCTTCAAGAATTGGCTCTCAAATAGCTAAGAAAAATGGGAATGCTTATGCAATGAAAGAGTATTGAAATGTTGAAGAATTGTGTGTTAAAAGAGAGGATTTGGGTGCCATTTTATAGCCCAAAATGGGATAAACCC